CAGAACAAGATTTCTTAGTTATCCTGCCCTGGATATTGTGCATCGGCCTTCTATTCCTTTACATTTCTATTGCATCCATGATAGCCAACTTTATGAGCACCATATTAATGGTACTTCGCCATGAAATGAAGTGGGTTATGATTCCTCCTGCTTGTCTAGCTATTCTCCCAATTGCCATACTTTCTATGCGTCAACTCCCARCCTTGTTTCAGATGATGCTTTCAACATACTCACTAGGCATATTTACCCAGCAGRAAAAACGTCTCAATATCTAGCCCACCAAATGAAACATAGATCAGTTTGGAGCCGGCTTATTTAATTAATTTGCATATATCCAACTGATCAACTACTTTCATCCKGTCCTTAGTTGGTTTCCATTTTGTGGATCAGTTAATGCTATCTAGCTAGTTGAGTTGAGTCTGACTTCTTTGACTTTGTTTGTTCCATGTGATCAATTTTCTTAGAAAATTAAACTACATCAAAGCATATCACTCTTTTTCGGTATATATATGATTAATTTCTTATGTCGTTTTAATTCTCCTTTCTAGTTCAGAGTATAAAGATCTCTATATATGGTAGCTTAGTGGTACCTTCCCTTTCTTTTGGAATAATATATATGCATCATACCTTCTTATTAGGTAACATAACAAATCAAATCTAATTTACATCTGTGAGCCTTATTAAATAGTCAGGTTATAAGTTCAATATCTAATATACCATGTCTTGGCAAGTTCATATATAGAATCTGCAATTTTTTCAGTGTAAACAACGATACTGGTTAGTGGTGAAGCCATGCTTGTGCATAATATATAGCAAAAGCCCGACGGTAACAAACTTCTTCCCCAATCAATGACCTGCATCGTCAATGCCAACCACTCAGTTCAGACTCACTCCGACGGTCCGACCTACTTGAGTCGTTGAGGTAGTAAGATTTTAGGTGTATTCTCCGATTCTAAATTATTGTAAGAAGGCTAAAAGCTCCTCCCACTACGGGGCCACTAGATCAAAAGGAAAGGCGCGTGATACTCAGAATTTTTGTCATGGATGTAGGGCCGTTGTCCATGGGTAGCTCATCACCTCATTGTCAAATCGTTGAATCTGATGGATTCATGGCTAATTTCTAGGAGAAGATCCGAAACTCATGATGAGTCTCAAGTCCCAATTAGATGGGCTTTGAAGTTTGCTAACTTTGGGCTTTGGAAATTAAGCGTGAAAGAACTCTTGCTATAGAGTCGAGGAAGAAGAAGAAATGGTTCGCAAATGGAACGATAGCTTCCCCCTCCTCCTGTCTTTGTTTTGCAATTGTTTCCTAATGGCATCTAGGGTTTAGTCAGTAAATCCTTGTCTCTTCTGTTCAAGAAAGTTGGGGTCACCAGAATGTTCACGGAGACATAACCCCAATTTTCTTAAATAGAAGAGGCAAGGACACTACAAGAAAAACGATAAAGACCGCCGCCTTACTAGGCGGTTTAGACAGAAATGACCGCCGCCTTTGGGGACCGATCCGACGCGGTTCAATCATTCCTAAGCCGGCCAACAGTATGTCAGAACCACCGGCTCAGATTTAATAAAGGCGGCGATCTAGACCGACGGATTAGATCTCTTTCGACCACTGCCTTAGGTCCGTCGTCTGCTTTTAGGTGGCGGTCCAGACCGCCGACTTAGATATCTTTGGACTGCCGCCTTAGGTCCGTCATCTGTTTTTAGGTGGCGGTCTGGGCCGCCGGCTTAGATATCTTTGGACCGCCGCCTTAGGTCCGTCGAAACATCGCGTCTGCTTTTAGGCAGCGGTCTGGACCGCCGGCTTAGATCGCTTTTATGTCTAAGGCGACGGTTTCATGACCGTTGGCTTTGTTTTTTTTTTAATTTTATATTATTTATATCAATTTGATTTCAACATTTTATTTGTACCTGTTTAATACAAATCTTATGGCAGATAATGCATAAAAATCAATTTAAATAAAAAATTACAAATTGAAAATAAAAAATAAAATTATTAATTATTATAATATCCAAAGCAAATTGCTTAAATAGAATATCTAATTAACATAAAAAAGTACAAGGCATTTAAAAAGAACTTCTTGAATAATGTAATACATCTTCCAATGCAAATCCTCTCCATGACCCCGGTTCTGTCTTCAGTTACAAGGCATTTGCAGGAAAAAACTTCTGTCTTCAGTGTTCTTGGACAATCTAAATTCTTAGCACTGAGTCCTATGTCACTTTATACTTAACGTTCATCTCCTTGTCGATTTGAACACCTTCCAGTGCCAACTGAACCTGAGAAAAGAGAAACTAGATATCACTTATAAATAAGTCATTGAGGCTTATTTTAAGCTTATAAAATGATGAAAGTTGAATCTTGACAAAGGAATTAAAATTTAAACAAGATGGGTTGTTTCCTTTTGATGTTTCATGGCCAAGGGACCATGCAGGAGGGATTAGGAAGATAGGTTTTTGTTACTTCACGAGGAAAATGAATCATCAGCAGAACACTTTCAAGCAAATTGGCTGAAACATATTGTTACAAAATTCTCTTTCATGATCTTTATATTTGTCAGATATATGTGAGATTCCATGGTTCTAACTTGGAACTTTTAGTAAGATGTATATTTTTTCCTAGAGTACCATTTGGGTCTTGAAACTCTGGGAGCTTATCTTATAGCTGTTCATCAAAGAAGGATCAAAATTACCAGGCAATGAGCTAGTCTCCAAGGGCCTCCCTCCAACATTTTCTCATGAAGTGAAATTATACTGTAAATGATCAAAAGAATGGTAATGCCCCACATACTATGGAACAATAATTGGCATGAAACAGATGAGTTGAACCTTTCTCATCCATCATCAACTCCATCAACTATTACAAAATTAAACAGCATAAGAAAAGTCAGGATAAGTCTTACCATCCATAAACTTAGGACGTGAATACAGATTCTGTTGTACTTATGAAATCATATAGTCCAATACCTGTTGTAATCACAATCATATAGTCCAACAAATGCAGATTCCTCTTCTCATTTGAAATCCCTTATCAGATTCTGTTGTACTTATGAAAGTTTTTTTCACTACAAAACTATCCTTTGTATTGAAGCCACAACCAAATGTCAGAGCAATAGTCCACTAGCAGGTCATTTGAGAAAAGAAACACTACAAGAAAATTGTGCTATAACTACCGACTGTAGCTACAGTTATAAAAACCGTAGCTAGAAGATGAGATATAGCTACGGATGATCTCATCTCCGTAGCTATAAAATAAACTTTAGCTACGGACAATTTGTTCGTGGCTAAAAGTTAATGGTCCGTGGCTAAAAGACACCTATAGCCACAGTTTTTAGGTATCCATAGCTATATGTTCGAAAACCAGAAAATAATCTACAACTACGGTCCTTTTGTTGGTGGCTAAAGATCTTTGTACCTATGGGTACAGATTATTTAAAATTATAGCTACTGGTTCTATTTATTCGTGGTTATAGCCATCAAGTTAATGACTAAAAGTAAAGCTATTTATAATGATGGAAAATTTTATATTGCCCAAAAGATATGATATTGAAAAGGTTTTGACCAATCAAAACCTTTGGTGAATTTTGATAAAAATCAATGTTTTAATAAGTTACCCTGAACTTCTAGCCACTTGTTTTTGGGTCAATGGTTCAACCATTTGGTTCGAATGGACTATCCATTTTGACAAAAAAATTTCAAAAATAATCAAAAAATAAAAAAAAGGCCAAAATCTTTGAACGGGTCAAATGGGTCAATGGTTTGATCGCCTAGGTCAATGGGTCATTGACCGATTCAATGGTTTTTGACCAAGGACCAGGTTTTGGGGTAAAATGGAACTAGTTTCCTGGACAGTTCCTCGACCAAATGGTCCAACCATCTAGGTCATACTACGATAGTTCAAAACAAGGTTTTAAAAACAGACCCAGAAACGGGACCGTTTTGGCCACCGGCTTTTCGGGTCAGTGGTTCAATCGTTTGGATCAAACTGTTCGAACGATTTAAATATGATAAATGGTGATATGTCATCTTACCCATTAGATTGGAATATTAGGGTAAGGTGCATATAAATAGAAGAGAAAAAGGGTTTCACTGTTTGAGAATGAGAGACCGTCGATGGCTAAGAGAGTTTAGAAGAGAGAGAAGAAGAAGAAGAAGAAGAAGAAGAAGAAGAAGAAGAAGAAAAAGAAGAGGAAGGAGGATGAGGAGGAGGAGGAGGTCGGCTACAGCGTTGACGATGACAATGAACTATAGTGGCGGCGATGTTAGATCTGAGATTTCTCTCAGTCTCAGATCTTTCTTTCTCAAATCTGTCATCTAGGTTCTTAGTCTTCTCTTCTAGATCTCTCTCACTGATCTCTTAGCCTTCTCTTCCAAACTCTTAGCCTTCTCTTCCAAATCTTAGTCTTCTAGATCTTAGATCTGAGATCTCTCTCTCTCTCTAGTAGATCTGAGATTTGAGATTTGAGAGATTTCTCTTTTCATTCAAATCTGGCTCTTATTTAATAAACCACAAACTGTTCTTCGGGTCGAACGGTTCAACGGTCAAACCGTCTAGGTCGATGATTCGTTGACTAATTCAACGGTTTTTGACAAAAAGACCAGGTTTGGGGTAAAATGAAATCGGTTGCCTAGACGGTTTCCAGTCCGAACGGGCTGACCGTTCGGGTCAACGACGGTTCGAAAACATTGGTTAAAAAAATCATAACAAAAATCCACTTGCATTGTTTATTACTCTTTTTAGTTATTGGTGGCTATAAATTGATTATAAAATAATAAATATATTTAAAAGTAATAAAGTAATAAATATTTTAATAAAAAGATAAAAATTAATAAATATTGAAATATTTACTAAAATGATTAAAAATTCATGTAATGCATGGAAATTAATACTAAAGAAATTATTAAAATAAATAAATATGATTAATAATTAATTATTTCATTACTAATGAATAACAATAACAATTAATGATATTAAATTATTAATAATTTCATAATTACTTATTGCATGAAATTTCCTTTTAACTACGGTCAACAATGACCGTGGTTAAAGACATTGTTTCTGGGATTTTCTATTTTTCTTTTCCTCCCGCCCCTGAAACCAATCTTTTCTTTCTATTTTAGTTTCAAAACTCTCCTCTTTTTTAACTTCTTCTCGTCTTTGTTTTTCTCTCTCATTTCTTATTTGCTTCATTGCTTTTTTTCACTCACAAAACCCTCCCCTTCTCGTTCATTTCTTTTCACTCACAAAACCCTCCTCTTCTCTTTGGTTTCATATTTTCTCAAAAATCATCAACTGGTTCGGGTGCTACTCTAGGAAGAATCCATCGACTGTTTCAGGTAAGAATTTCAATTCTCTGATTCTTTATATCACTCTTTATCTCTCTCTCTTTCTCTCTCTCTCTCACCGAAAAGAATCATTTATCTTTGATGCAAGGACTGGCTTGGGTTCTAAAGGTGTGCAGCTTCGTTGGCTCAGCTCGGACGCCAAAGGTGTGCAACTTCGTTACCTCAGGTTTGTTTTAATTGCCCTGTCTCTCATCAACTTAATTAGTTCATCAAGTTTCCAATTTCTTTCATGAACCGATTGTTAATTAGGTATATTTATTTTCAAAAGATTAAAATTATAAGTTATTACATGAAAAGGAAAAAATTGAAGAGTGTCCGTGGGTAATTCTTTAACCGGTGGGATGGGGGTATCAAGTGATGTTGTTCTATCTTTCTTCCAAAAGAAAGATGGTCGATAGTATTTCTTTAATGGTGAGATTTATTTGAGTTTCTGGATTTGGGGTTTTGGTTGAAATAAAGATGGTGGGTAATTCTTTAATGGTGAGATTTATTTGATTTTATGGGTTTGGGGTTTTGGTTCGGTCATCAAAAGAATATTTTATAATTGTTGAGAATCTTTAGAGAAATCTTGTATAATTTGGCAGAGGTCGATGGGTGGTCTTGAATGGTTCCTCTGCCTTTTGCACCCCAACCACTGCTGCCTTGAGTTCTACCCCGATGGAGTCTCATTCTCCTATTAGGCCTGAGTACATCACAAGTAAAAAAACCATTCTCATTTCTTATTCCTCCCCCTATCCCATAATGACAATGATTGCCCTTACTGCTTCCATCAAAGTTCAGATTTATTCATCCCTTTTCTGATAGTGTCCATTCTTTTATCAGCTTTGGTTTCTTAGAACAAGAGGCTGTAACTGCACCCCAATTCTGAAAAAAAAAAAATAATCATCCATCATGAAGTCTGAAAACAAATTGAAAGTGTTTCACCTAATTTGCAACCTTCACCATGATGCTTTTAATAATAGTTTCCTTTCTTCTTTCCTTCCCTTCAAAGATTCTTGTGTTTTTTCCTTGCACAAAGTCTAGAGTACCACTATTGCTTTTTTTTTGATAAATAAAGTAATTATCAATTTATTTTACTAGAGCACCACTGTATCAAAAAGAGGGGAAAAATGTTAAAAAGTGTATATGAGTGGCCTTCCTACATGGAGAGCTTAAGGGAAAATATTGTATATGAGTATTCCACTTAGGGTAGAGTTGTCTGGTGATATAGGAAGAAAAATGTTCAAATTGACAAAAAAATAAAAATAAAAATCTATGGCCTCAGACAGTCTCATAGAGCCTGGTTTGAAAAGTTCAACGATGTTGTCCATAGACTTGGGTTCACTAGAAGCCAAGTTTATATATAGTATTTGTCAAAAGAGCAAGTAAGTCTACTAGACTACTACAATATTATTTGTTTATGTTGATAGCATTTTGATTAAATGTGATAGTGTGATACTGTCAAAAAGATACAATAACTTAAGCTATTTTTTGAAAAAAATTAAATAAATTCAAACCAAAGTGAAAAGAAGCAAATAACTACACCGTGGTCTTTCTGGTTTGAAGTGAAATCTATCAGCCCAAAAACAATATACAAATTTGTTGAAATCAAGGATTTAGGACCTCATAGGTAGTTTTTTTCTGAATTGAGATTACTAGATCCAATTTTTTTTCTTTTTTTTTTCTTCATGACATCTTCAAGAAATTGGAAAATTGAATTCAAAACCTGCTGATGTGCCTACAGAACCAAATTTGAAACTTGATGATGTTAATGATCACAAGGTTGAAGATGTAAGGATGTTTCGGTGGCTGGTGGTAAAGGCATTTATTTGTCTCTCACTAGATATAACATTGCACATGTTAGACCTAACATTGCACATGCTGTTGGAGCAGTGAGCCAATTTATGCATTGTTCTTGTATTTCTCTCCTCAATGTTGTGAATAGGGGGTGTCAATGGACTGGTTTTGTGTTGGACTCCATCCAAATCAAAATCAATTTGGATGGATTTAGACAGACCAATAAGACATATTGAATTAGACCAATCCAAACTTAATGGTCTAAAATATTTATTGGATTGGACTGGACACGGTCCATCCATAATGGATTATATTGGATTGGGTCGGATTGAACCAATATCCAGTTCATTGATTGAAGATAAGAATACATGTGTCAATAGACTAGGTTTGTGTTGGAACCAATCTAATTTAAAACCGATTTGAACGGATTGGATGGTCCAAACATTGAATTGGACTGGTACAAGAATGGTCCAGAGTATTCACTGGATTGGATTGGACCTAATCTACTCCAGTTGACACCGTTAGCTGTGAACTTATTGAGCTACTTAAGGGTCACTTGGAAAACATCTCTTGTTTTATAACAATGGTCTTTTGAAGGTGGGTATTTGTAGTGATGCTTATTGGATTGTATTTCTTTTTATTTTGATAAATAAGTGGTATTTTATTAAGCATAGAATAGAAAAGTGTAAATCAGCATAAGAGGAGGCACGGGATGTTACCTCCCCTTAGAGCTAAGCAGTTAAGCACACATTCTATCCAGAATTACAATTATAAGGTAGCTCAAAACAGATCACCCCTTGATACCCCCTATTTAGCCAAGGAATCAGTCATGGCATTTGCCAATTTGCTGACTCACTGAAAGCTAACTAAGGGTCCATTTGGTTCATAGTTGGAATTGGAATTCGGAATCAGAATTGGAATGGCCTATTCTCATAGTCTGTTTGGTTCAGACAGGATTAAGAATAGGAATCAGCAGGAATGAGATTTCATTCCCAAGGGAGGGACAGGGAATGTCCATTCCCTCAAATTGGGGAATGCTATTCCAGCAGGAAGTGGAATGGGGTTCCGATTCTGCCCAACCAAGTAGCTGGAATCAGAATAGCCCATTTCAATTCCAATTCCAGACCCCTATTCCTACAAACCAAACGGGGCATGACATATTCCTGATAAACCAATGAACAATAGCAAATTGGTCTGGTGTATCAACAATAGTAAATTGATGAAACAGCTTCAGAAAGAACCATGAACAGCTTCAGAAAGACCAAAATCTGACAACTTTGGATGAAACCCTTCATCCAATATATTATTGGATGATTTGAGGTCCCTATAGATAACTGGGGGGTTTGCTTTGTCATGTAGGTATTCCAGCCCCTTGGCTGCACCAGCAGCTATCTTCATTCTTGTGTTCCAGTCAAGTGGCTCCTTAACAGGTGGAAGATCGGCACAATGAACATTTGTTATTGATCAGTATTATTAATATTCAAATTAAATGTTGACAACTTGACATACTCATAAAATGCTGTAATAACTGTCCACTTAAACACTTACCAAAAGAAAAAAAGAAAAGAAAACTGTCCACTTAAACTTCAAAAATAAAAGCTAAGGAATGATAGGTAGCTTCGTAACCTTGACACTCATTTTCTTTTCTTGGAAATTCTTTATTCTTTTTTGGGTTAAGTTAGCAATCAAAATATTGCCTTGGACAACATCCGGCTGCTCCTTCCAGAAATCTACAACTCTTAAAAGTTATAGTTTGTTTATTCTTTTTTGGGTCTGATTTGTCTAGTTATAGTTTGTTTATATTTAAATCTTGTTTTTTGGGTCTGATTTGAAAATCTTGTTTATTAACATTCCTAAATGCACCAAAACTTTTGTGGATGAGTTGTTTTTTTTTTTATTTGTTGCTCAGATTGGACTCAATGGCTGAATTATATAGTGGATCTCTTGAGCCCGTTTTTTTGTGTATTTGGTATAATCCATCCCTGTCCCTCTTGTTTGTGCTGGTTTTTTTCTGTTTTACACTTTTCTTTTGTCTTGCTTTTAGTAAACTTATCATTAGAAATTAATTAGAAATTTAAATAGCAAAATCACAGATTAAAACAAAAGAAAAATAATTGCATTTGCATTTGGAATCTGATTGACAATTGTCACAGGTGATCTAGATGGCTACAGTACAGGCCCAACAGACGGTGTACTCGTAATGCATAAAATAAACTCTAAAAATGGTGTTTATTGTATGTTTGATAATCAAAACTAGTCAAGATATTAATGTTCTTGGAATACTTGGAGACACTGAATGATATGATGCAGTAGATGGTTTCATCACTTTGCTGAAATCTTATTTGTGGGTCTAAAGTGGAAGATGTTTATTGTGTCATGTTTCATTTTCACATCCACTTCCTGCTTTGTGATGTGTATGTTGTCTTCTTTGAGAACAATCAGGTACAATGGGCCCTCCTTTCAAGATTGAGTCCATAGGAATTCTCTTGGTTTCCTCCCTATTCAACCTAATGAACCACCCTATGAGGTCAAATATATTTTCCACCTGTTGTATGTTATTCTTAAAAGTTCCAACATTTATTCCCCCATCAAATACTCTATAGCATTGCTGCAGTTCTACAATGCTAAAGTATCTTACCTCTTCTTTTGTGTGTATGAATGATTGTGAAGTTCCATTGTTCTCTTCAGAATCCCTTTCTAGAGATGGGATTAACAGACTGAAGCCTGTATGTGAGTTGAGAAACTCCATGACCTGGCTTTCAATAAACAAGAGTTTGTCCAGTTAAATATATTTTGCTAACGGTATTGCCTGCTATGTTTCACATAGTTCTTGAATTGTTCCTGCTACTAGATATTTTTCAGATAATCTTAAAATAGTAGGAGCTTTCATCTTTCTATATCAATAAAAATCCTATTGACTTTGTCATTGATAAAGAAAAAAGAAGAAGAAAACATTGATGCTGAACTTGTATGCACACCAAGAATGTAATATTACATCATGTGAAACGAAGAAGATTTCTTTAATTTTGCATTAAATTATTATAGAATTTGGACCCAAATGCCTCGGCCTACCAAGATTAAACAACAGTTTTCAAGTTCAATGACCAAAAAAAATTCAAGTTCAGGGATTTACTTCAACATAGCTAGGCTCCACATGGAATTCAGAAACATTGTTGTGTTTAGTGAAAATCCGAAATTCATAAAAGATGTGTTTGATCTCAATCCTTACGTTTGTCATTTGTTTAAAATTAGGCTTGGAAAGTAGGCAAGAGTTTACATTCCATATATACTTAATTAAATTTTCATATATGATTTTATATCTCCAAAAATGTGATATCTAACTTATTTTCTATTATTTTCTTATAGGTTGAACATGGTAAAGGAGGATACTTCACACGTGTGGATGGAGACATTTGATCAAATTTTACATGCCATTTTTTTTTTATTGAGTTTCATGTATTCAAGAACATTGAATTTGTAGCAAACACATGGATATTAAAGCGCTGTGAGATACATGTATTCAAGAACCTTTTAATGAAAATTTAAATTCAAGTTCCATCTTATATTATGAATTAGTTATGCTTGTATTCAATACAGGAAAGCAGTTTTCAAATAAATAATGAAAAAAATTGGGATCTAGCCATCTAGGCTTTATGTTTTTTGCTACAAACAATGAAAACCGTTGCTAAAGGTGTTTTAGCTACAGTAAAAAAATCGTTGCTAAAGGACTTTTTAACTAACTACTGATTGTACACCTCCGTAGCTATAGATTGTTGTTCTTCTGCTACTGATACATCAACCGTAGCTATAGCTAATTTTTTCTAGCTACGGCCAGTTATCCGTAGCTATAGATTGATGCCTTTTGCTACGAGCAACTTGAGTTCGTAGCTATAAATCCATAGTTTAAGCTACGGATATCTCATCACCGTAGCTATAAATGCAAATTTTGTAGCCATGGGCATCACACAACCGTAGCCAAATTTGACAATACAATTTATTGCCATATGTTTATAGTAAAATGCCAAGCCTCTAACTCAGAGTAGATGAACTTTTGTTTAAGTTGTTTTCCATGAAACAAGAACTTTCTTTCTTTTTTCCAAGGATAAATCTTCTCAATTGACTTTTAATAGAGCAGTCCTGAATTTGGTTTCTATTGGTTCTCGTCTAAAAAATAAACATCAAAAGAGGAAACTAACACTTGAGTAGATGTTAACCAGATCTTGATACCAATTCATGTTCTGTGGTTAGGCATAGAAGGCTGGACATGAACCCCACTTAGGAGTCTCAACAACTGCGAACAGGCCTCCACCTCCCAATTGTTCAGGTTGCACCTGAACTGAGGACATCGAGAAATGCCTGCCTCTAAAAATCAAAACAATCTCAAACAGTAACACCCCTACTGGTCATATGTGTCAAACTTTTGGCTTAACTCTGTTGATCTTGCACTATATTGTGTGCTTACCTATTAGAGTAGTGAATAGAAAAGAATAACCTTCCCCTTACCATTAAAGAGATAACAATTCTTGGATCCTTTGCAAAAGGGTTCAGATTTGACAGTTATTAGCCTGATTTAAAATAACCATCCGCTTGCCTGTTATGGACACAACACCCGGCAACACGCTACGTCGCAACCACAGGTAGTAGCGTGCACAGCAGTGCGCCTAGCGGCACGCCCCGCCCGGTAGCGCGCCGCAGTACAGTCTGCCAGCCGCACGCCTAGCGGCACGGCAGCACACACCACACGGCAGCGGCACGCACCACACGGAAGCAACACGCACCTCACAGCAGCAGCAGCAAGGAGAGTCGCACGCGCCAGCGGTAGAGCGGGGCCCACACGCCAGCTCATCCGGGTGGGCCCGCGCTTATCCGGCCACAGCAGCCTTGCTCGCCAATGCCAGTTGTACCTTTCCCTTATCCCCTATTTTTGTGTTCCCCTTAGAAGTAGGAGTTTGAGTTTCGATAGAAGTTTAAGTTGCGGTAAGAGAGGGACTACCTTAGCCGAATACAAGAAGGAAACCCTCCTGTAATATCCTATTTAAGGAGCTGATTTATTCAATAAAGGTATCGAATTTTCAGTCAAGAAGAGAACAAGGAGAGTAAGGTGATCTCTTGAACAAATCACCCCTCAGTCTGCCACCATAGGGTCAACTCGCAAAGGAAAGGCAAAGGGAAGGCAAGGAGTTTTCCCAACAAACCGCCCCGCGACGAGATCCTACGCCCGGGCCCATAACAGAGTACACGCCGGACTTCGAAGTCGTTGATCTTCACCTTTATGACAAGTGCATCTTCGTGGGGGTAGTGGACCCCGCGCGCATCGTCTTCGATGAAGAATATGGGGTCTTCCATCCTAGGCCACTTTGGAGGATTTTGTTCTTCTCTAGCGGCTTCCCGAGTTGATGCCCGAGCTGCTGCCGAGGTGCATCCTGCTACGATCGATCCTCCAACGATCACATGGAGTGTTCCCCGAACTGGTCTTTCCTCCGGGGGCTGCTTCTGCGGTTCGGCTGGCCGGCTGTTGGACTCGGGAGCATCTCTGTTGTGCTCTCCTTGTCGACCTGTCTTATTACTATTATTGTTATTATTATTATGCTGTACAAAATTTCTTAGGTACTACGACGGATAAGTTCTTCTATCTCATCGCGAAGATTATTACAATGCTCGGTGCTATGATCATGGTCTCTATGGAAACTGCAGTACAAGTTTTTATTCCTCTCGTTCAGGTTTCCCTTCAGACGAGGTGGCCATTTCACGTACGGGGCATCTTTGATCGTCATTAAGATCTCGGCCCGCTTCGCGTTTAAGGGTGTGTAGTCCGTCCGACCAGCTAAGGGAGCTCGGAACGGCGGGCTTGGCTTTGTCCCCCGTGCTGGGTCTTTCTTCCTCCTGTCATCTGGGTTGGAGGGTTCGCCTTCCCTCTTCCTTTTTTCGATCCCACTTTCAATCCTTTGGTTGATCTCCTCCTCTGTTCTTATGAATTTGTCCGCGAGCTTGAGGAATTCAGCTATGGTCATGGGCTGGTTGACTACCATGTGCCACCTGAACTCCTTGTGTGTCACACCCCTCTTGGCTGCCGCGAGCTATACCGTGGGGTCTAGGCGCGGTATCTGCAAGCATGCGTCATTGAACCGTTTGACATAGCCCCAGATGAACTCTCCTTCCCTCTGGACTATTCCGAGGAGGCTCTCCTCTGTTTGGGGGCACCGCTTGCTAGTAACAAAGTGTGCGGTGAAGACTTGCACGAACTGGGTCCAGCTTCTTATCGACCCGGGGGCCAGGTTCCTGTACCAGGTGCGGGCCACTCCCCTGAAGGTGGTAGTGAAGGCCACACACATGTAGGACTCGCTGGCCCTTGCCAGGTGCATTTGGGACTGGAAATCATTGACGTGGTCATTGGGGTCAAAGGACCCATCATACTTGTCTAGGGGAGGGAGTTTGAAATCTTTAGGCATGGGAACCGCAAGGAGTTCTGATGACAGGGGGGAAGGAACTAAAAGAATAGGAACAACTTTTACCTCGTCCGAGCTTGTTTCTTCCTTACCTCGAAGCTCGGGCAGGATGCGGGTGGTAGTTCGGCAACTTCGCCGGCGNATGTAGCATGCACCGCACGACAGCAGCACGCACCGCACGACAGTAGCACGCACCTCACGGCAGTAATACGCACCACCCGGCAGCAGTAGTAGGGCGGGGCCCACATGACAGCTCATCAGGCCGGGCCCACACTTATCTTACCACATCAGCTATGCCTGCCAACTCACCGCCAGCTTACCTTATCCCTTATCCCTTATCCCTTATCTTATCTTATCATTATCTTTATCTTATCTTAAGTAAATGTGTTACCAATAGGAGTAAGTAATTAGGAGTTTTGAGTTCAAGTTGGAGTTTGAGTTTAATTAGGAATTTCCTTCTGTAATCTCCTATTTAAGGAGCTACGAATTGAAAATAAAGGCATTCAGTTTTCCAGTCAAGAAAAGAGTGAGGAGAGTTCGGGTAGTCTCTTGGACAAATCACCTATTCAGTTTCCGCAATAGGGTGGGTCTACACGAAAGGGAAGGCGCAAGGGAAAGCAGGGCTTTCTCACCGTGGACTGACCCATGACGAGATCCTACGCGCGGGCCCATAACATTTGGTATCAGAGCCAAGCGTCATGGGCGACATGGAGCAGCTATCTTCCAAGGTTCACGAGTTGGAACACCGTCTCGTGGAAAATCACGCAGAGGTAAGAGAAGTTAAAGAGGATGTCAGGGAACTTCGGCATCTACTGGAGTTACACTTCTCCACCAGGGAAAGGAGCCCTGAAGGGGCAGCCACCAACAACAGCCGCCGCCCAGATCGGGCAGAGGGCTCCGGTGAACGACAGAACGACACCCCAACAGTAGCAATCATACCCAAATACAGTCGTCTGGAGTTCCCCTCATACAGCGGCAGTGGTGACCCACTTGGATGGCTGTACCGCTGTGAGCAATTCTTCCGCAATCAGTGCACGGAAGAGAAGGACAAGGTCAGCCTGGCAGCATTCCACTTGACTGATGAAGCACAGCTCTAGTTCTACCGAGTGGAGCGGGAAGAACCCGGCCTTAGTTGGAACCAGTTCAAGTCGTAATGCCTCCTCCAGTTCGGACCCCCATTAACAAGCAACCCCTTGGGAGAGCTCATTAACCTCAAGCAGACCAGGATCGTCGTGAAGTATCAACGGCAGTTTCAAACCCTTCTCGCTAGAGCCTCTTCAGTTTGGCCAGACCAACAGGTGGATATGTTCACAGTCGGCCTATCTGAATCTCTRAGAGTTGATGTGGAGATGCAGAGCCCACCCAACTTGGTCACAACAATGAATCTGGCCCGAGCCTTCGAGTGCAAGCTGTAGATCAGCCGAGCCGAGGGCCGCCCAGCATGGGGCGTCCCGCAACGACTTGGACGAACCCAAGGTCTACCGTAGGAGGGCCTTCGATGGCTGCCAACAGGGAACAACACCCTTTCACCAGCAACACTACCCGATCTGCAACTACCATGGGTAGCAACATGACAACACCTCTCATCTGACTCTTATCCAGGGCCGAGATGGCTGAGCGCCGAGCCAAGGGCCAATGCTTCAACTGTGACGAGATGGAGGAGGAAGAAGAGGAACAGGCGGCACTAGAACCCGAGATCTCCCTCCATGCCATCACTGGAATCCAAAACTCCCAAACCTTGCAATTGCAGGCCCAGGTGGTAGGAAAACGGGTACGGATTTTGGTTGACTCAGGGAGCACCCACAACTTCATCAGCAAGCGGGCTGCGCTCCAACTGAAGCTACCAATGGAAGACAGACCGCAGCTCCATGTGGCTGTAGCAAATGGGGAGAGAGTTCATAGTCCAGGGATCTTCCGAAGCATCCAAATCCGTGTGGATTCTGAACCATTCCTCGCAGATCTATTTGTACTGACCCTAGACGAGTTCGACATAGTGTTGGGAATTAAGTGGCTCATCACCCTCGGCCCCATCCTATGGGATTTCAGTGCCTTGACCATGACGTTTGACTTACATGGGAAATAGGTCACCTGGAAGGGGACCAAGATGAGAGCAAGAA